CACAAAATGCTCTTGGGGCAGGGCTGCTGAAACTCCCAGTTAATCCATCACAAAGCTAGCCGATGCTTGTACAGGTCTCATTTCACTTAATCCTTACAAACAGAGGTGGGTACTGTGACCATCCCCACTGGAACAATGAGTAAACTGAGACCTGGAAGAGTCAAATGACTTGCCCAAGGCCCCATTCACAACTAATAGGAACACACTGGTCTGTACTCAGCCTTACAATGGAGTCCACCAGGAGCCAAGCACTGTGCTTTCCTTCACTCCTCGCAACAGGCCTGCCTGCCTGCCAGACCTATCTAAGTTACTACCTTCTTTTAAAATTAACAGAGGAGGAAACCGAGGCTCAGAGAAAGGCAGGACTGAGGCCGAAGGTGGTATAGCCCGGATTGGATCCCAGAGAGGTCTGACCCCAGATCATGCTCCTCCTTTTCTTCTCTGTGCCAGAAAGGGTAGGGCCTGATGAGTGCTGAGGGCTGTCAGCCCGAGTTCTCTTTCTTCAAGGGGCAGAAAGCTCACCTGTAGATAGAGGTGCCCACGGGGACTCTGTTTCCTCTCCTGGGTCCCAGTGCTCTTCTCCCCACCTGCTTCCCGCGGCAGGGCTCTCACCTGTACTAGTAGCTCCGCTGCAGGAAGTACCGCTGGGTCCGTTCTCCCTCTTCCCGGGGGCGGGGCACTCACCTGTACAAGTGACCCAGTTGCAGGAGATGCAGCAGCGCCAAGCAGCGGACTGGGGGCTGCGATTTGTGCAAACCAGCGGGGTCGGCGCGCAGCCAGATCCAGCTGAAGACCTGTAGTGAGACCGAAGCGAGGCCCAGCAGTGTCAGCACCAGTGCGGCCCACAAGTAGCGACCGCTAAGCACATACTGGCTCGCGATCCACAGGTCAGCGCCCAGGTTGATCACGAAGGCAGTGGTACCCCATACGCCTAGGACCAGATCCCAAAAGAGCGTGGTGCGGAGTGACCAGGACATGACCCTTCCCTTCCTTCCCGTCTGAACTCGGACTGGACTCCCGAGGTAGTAGCCGCAGGAAGGAGGCCCGCACAGTCCTCGGAGCCGCCCAGGGGCCGGGCCTGCTGGGCTGGACTTCCCGGTCCCGCCCAGTCCGGGGAGGAGCGAGGCCCCAGGATCCCGCCTCAGGCGTCCCGAGTCCCCACCCCCGCCCCTCCGCGAAGGGGAAGGCTGACCCAGACCTAGGCGCTGAATCTTTCCTGGGGATCCCGCATCCAGTCCCGCTGAGCTCCGAGGACCGCTAGTCCGAAGACTGCCGTCCGAGGTGCACTGCCCTCAGTTTAGCAGATTTCGAAATTGCCTTGTTTCACATTTGAGGCTCCTGGAGGCCCAAGACGGCGAGAAAGGCCTGGCGATAAGCGCCCGGACTAAAACTTGGACCTGCCTTGAGTTCAGGCAGTGTGCCAGGGGAGACCGAGGGCACAGGAGCAACCAGGTGCATCTTCCTGGCGGCTCGTTTTACTCTTGATTATCCGTATGGAGGGAAGGGAGGACATTCAATAACTGCAAGGGTGTTGCTTTAAACGTTGTTTACATATTGAATAATGTACAGAATAAGATGCACGGTTAGCATTTGGGAGGTGGGGAGGGGGATAAAACGTGACTCTTGGAAGAAATGTGCTTCTAGTGCGGTCTTTGGGCTTCATTTCCAGATCTGGCTCTCCCATCCCAGTTCACTCTGTGGACGCCATAAAAATGGTTGAATAGTCCAGTTCTGGATGGCGCTGGCTCCAATTTATCAGGAAGAAGGCGAACCCAGAGAGCGGGCGGATGGCTCCCAAAGTCACCACGCAAGCAGCGCGCGCAGGCAGAGCGGCGCGGCCAGTAGGAGCGCGAGGCGGGGCGCGGGCGCCGTGCCGGGGGCGCGCAGACAGGCGGCGTACGCGTCGAAAGCCACCTCGCGTAGTGCGCACACGTGCTCGGCACGGCAGGCCTCGCCGCAGGCTTGCAGGTCGTAGCTGACAGAGTTGTAGACGTAGTAGCGCTGCAGCGCGTCATGATCGCTGGCGATGCGACCCAGCGCCGCGTGCATGGAGCGGGCGCTAGCGTTGGGCACACGATAGGCCTCGGTCACCCGGTACTCGAGCTCCCAGCGCGCGTCCCCCTGTTCGTTCGCCTGGCTGAGGTTCACGAAGTAAGTCACCATATCCTGGAGAGGGGGCACGAGGCGGACCAGCCGTGAGTAGCTGTCTGCTTCCACCCACAACCCTGCACCTTGCCTTAACCTCCAGATCCTTTATATCCATAATAATGGCTACTGTTAGTTATTGAGCATTTACTATTTACCAAATGTGTGTGGCAGACATCTTCTGATTCGGATGAGGTTAACTGCGCTTATTATCCCAATTTCACAGAAGAGGAAACTGAGTCCTAAAGAGGTTAATTCCTTTGGCCAAGGCCCTACAGGTGTTCAGTGGCAAAGGTGGGAGTGGACCAGGTGGTTTACCCCAAGGCCTGTGCATTTTCTGTCCCAGCAAACTCCCGGGTACACAGAAGGTACTCAGTAAATATTTACAGAATGAATGGATAAAAAGCAACTTAAAAGAAGTAAGATGGGCTGCTTGGCTGAGAGAGGTTATAGAATTGTGGTTGATTGGAGGCTTGGGCTACACCCAAGACCCCTAGGACTCAGGTGCATCTTAAGGACTAGAATCTGGAAGGGTTTATCGGTCCAACAATTTCCACTTAAATTTGTGGACCTGCTTCAGGTCACTAAAAGTGAGCTAAGAGGAGCTGCCACGTATGGATGGCAACTTTCTGCTTCCCGTTTGTCAAATAAAGCAAGGGAGGCCCAATGAGGTCCAAAAGCTCCTGAGCGGTGGAGCCAGGATTCAAACCCAGGTCTGTCTGACTCCCTCCCTGAGAAGGATGTAAGGCATGTTGAGGAGCTGGGGTGTGGAAGGGAGGAGGGAGTCCCAGCCGTGGTTCTTCTTACCAAGGCCCTCTGAATGCCCATGTAGATAACAAGCCATACTCCTAAAAATCCTCAGACCTCTTCTCCACCTCCATTTACTCCAGAATCAAGGACCTAGGTTATTTCTTCCAATCCCTGATTTTAGATGTCCTTTCTCGACCCCTAGATTAAATCTTGATACTCACCTCTTCCTGGAACTCCAGCTTGAACACCCAACTGCTTCCTCCCTCGGCACTTTTACTTGGAAGCCATTTAGACATCCCAAAGTTAACAGGTTCAAAACCAGATTTCTGATCTTCCCTCCAAAACTTGTTCCTCCTGCAGTGATCTCATTTCATTCAATGACAACTTCATCCTTCCAAGTTTTCAGGCCAAAGCCTTGGAATCCTCCTTAATTCCTCTCTTTCTCTCACACCCCTCATCCAATCCACTAGCAAATCCTGCCTGCTCTGCCGTCAAAATACATCCAGGACCTGGCACTTTTCACCACCCCACTGCTACTGCCCTGGCCCACACCACCATCTCAGTGGTCATTGTAGTCACCTCCTAATTCATCCTCCTGTTTCTGCCCTGGCCCCCTAAAGCCTGTTCTCTGCACAGCAGACATGATGGTTTGGATAAAATTGTTAACTCAGCATATTTAATTCTGTCCTAAACCTTCCAGGTCAAGAGTCTTACTCATGGCCTACGTGATCTAACCTCATCCCTCCCGCCCTCCGCTTGTGCCTTCCGCTGTGGCCACACTGGCCTCCTCGCTCTTCTCCCAACACACCAGGCACATTCCCACCCCTGGGCCTTTGACTTGCTCTTTCTTTTTCTCTGCCTTCCTGGATACCGACACGGCTCACTCCCCCAATTTACTCAGAATTCAAATGTCGCCCTACCAGGGACTCTTCCCTGCCCGCCCTAATAGCACGCACACACCCACTCTGTAACCATCACCGCCTGCCTCTTCCCTCTGTTTTCTCCTTAACGCTTATCTCATGCCATACTTAACTCCACTTATCTGTTTATTGGTTGTCTCCTGTAAGAATGTCAGCTCCAGAAAAGCAGTGACTTTGTTTTAGTTCCCTTATATATCTCCTGAACTTAGCACAGGGCCTGGCACATGGCAGGTAATTAATACATTGTTGAATAAATTAAAGAATAGTATTTCTTTGTTATTTCAACAATCACAAGCACACCCCAGGAGGTGAGGGATTGTTTGATGAATTAGGGACCTGCTTTGTCTGCAATGTAATCAATGCAGAGAAGACAATGGGCCTGAGGTCACACTTGAATGCCAGGCCAAAGAGATCTAACTCATCTTGGAGACACTGGGGCGCCATTGAAGGTTTTGAGCAGGAGAGAAACAAGAAGTGCTTTAGAAAGATTAGTATATACTTTCTGTAGTGTATAGCAGATGAGCTATGCAGGGCAGTGCTGGAGTCAGACCAGGTAGGAGGCCGTGACAATGACCCAGGGCAAAGGGAAATTTAGGGAAGAGGAAATGACCTGATCTGGTGTCAGGCTTTGGAGGTGGCTCCAGGGTTTTGATCCTGACCTCTGGAAGGGTGGAAGTAACTTGACCTTCCTGAGGCTCAGTGGTCACTAGAGTGCAGATTAGCTGGGAAAGAGATAGAGAAGGTGGTGATGCATTCAGGTCCCTCCCCTCCCTCCTCCTCTGGTCTCAGCAGACCCACGGCTCCTGACCTGCAGGCTCAGTGTGTCTCGGTCGTATTCGAACACCCGGATGCCTGGATTGTTGGCCCCGTTGACCACTCCGGGTAATGTGGTTTTCCATGGGGTGACCCCAGGTGTAAGGAACATGACACTGATGGGGGCACCTTTCAGGAGAGAGACAGTGGGACTGAGAGAGGCTGGCGAGAGAAGAAGGGAAATGGGCTGGCAGGTACCCTCCCGGCTGAGTACCTGCGTCATCATAGAACATCCGAAAGCTGTCGGTGTGATGGTGGCCGAAGAACTGCCCTGCGATGACTCGATGGTGCTTCTGGACCACCTTCAAGTACTTCTCATTGAAGCCCTCCCGGAACCATGCTTTGTTCCGAGTCTTCTCAAAGAATCCTGGGGGCACGTGGCCAATAATGTACACCTGCGAGGAAGGGGTGCCCAGGAGGAGATCAGAGACAACCTCCCCAATCCTTCATTTCCACCTCAAAACTTGCCTATCTCCCCAAAGGCAAGCAGGCATACTCAAATGTACCTCTTCTCAAAGTCCTCTGCTTTCCCTCTCCAGGGCAAATTCCAGCATTCCCTGTACCCAGTAACGAATGTACCACATACTCTCCCAGCTCTGTGCCTTTGCCATGCTGTGCCTGCCACTTGGAGTACCTGTCTCATTTTCTCTTCTGTAAATCCTACTTGGACTTCAAAACCCAGGTCAAAGCGCACCTCCTCGTGAGAACTTACTATTGGAGACCTCGGGCGCTGTAACTGAACTGGTCTTGCATGACTGTGTAGCACATGCTATGTGGTAATGTGTGATCATGTCTTACATTTCTCGTCACTCAACTAACCCTACCTGGGCCCTTGGCCACCATTGCAAGAAGTAGAACGGGGGGTGAGGGAGAGGGCAGTTAAGAGCATGAACTTTGGTGATGAACTGCAGCTTGGACACCAGCAGTGTGTTACCTCTCTGAGCTTCAGTTTTCTCATCAGAAATAGCATCTAACTGGTGGAGTTTTGAGAGTTAAATGAGGTAATCCATCGTAAGTGCTAAGAAGTACCAGCCATGAGACCCTGTTGGGATGTGCTGTTCAGTGTAGGGACTTGGGCAAATGAGACCCAGAGCCTGTCCTCGGACAGCTGTCAGCCCATCAGACTAGGTGGACACCCCTCAAGGGCAGGGCATGCCCTTGAAGTCTAGTACGCAATGCAGGCTGCAGCTGTGGTGTGTGACGGCCCGGGAAAGAGCACTGGACTTGGAGTCTGGAGACCAGGATTCTAGTCTCAGGTCCACCATTTATTGTGTGACCTGGACTGTTGCTGCCCCTTGGGAGCCTCACATCTGCAATGGGCTTTGGGGTCCCAGCCTCACAGGCTATTCTGAAGATGGAAGGAGCCTCCTCCTGGTGCCAGGCTGATGAAGGACTCTCTTGTGTGAGCATCTTAAGAGTGGATCAGCTTGTGCCAAGGTGGGAGACTTGTTCAGGAAGTGACCCCAGAGAGGGAAGAGAAGGAGGCAGGAGACCTTACCATTTCCCCAGCTTGGGATGCATTGGTCAGCACATCTTCCAGCCACTGGAACTGCTGCCCAGGGTCGACCATGCTGGCTGTCTGCTCATTGCTACTATAGTACAGATTGGTGTTGAGGACCACAATTCGCCCAGCCCCACTCTGCCCCAGCAACTTCTCAGAATAGAAGGCACCTAGGACATCACAGCCAAGGAAAATGTGAAGATACACCTATACCCCCTTTCGTTCTCCAACCTTCTACCTCCCTTCCCATCTTTTGCATAAGAGGGGCATCATGCATAAGACCAAAGGCTCTGGAGCCAGGCTGCCTAGGTTCAAATCCTGGCTCTATCACTTATTAGCTATGCAACTTAAGAAAGCTACTTCACCTCGCTATGTCTGTTTCCTCATCTGTATGATGGGAAAAACAATGAGGTATGTTTGCTCCTCCAGATCCACTGTCAACCCTTCTCCACTCAGCTCTTTGCCCCAGGAGCTGATCTATATGAACTAAATCAATGGGTTTCTGTTCCACGGGCTTCTGGTTAGGTTTGACCAATGGGGAGCCCAAGCATCAGGGGACTGAGGAAAAGGAAGAGAGGTCAGGGTCATTTAGGACTGGCTATGTCTTTGGATCAGTTCTTCTCAACCAGGTGATTTTTGTCCCCTTGGGAACATTTGGCAATATCTATAGAGACATTTGGGTTATTAAAACTGGGGGTGTTACTGGCATCTAGTGGGTAGAGGCCAGGAATATTGCTAAACATCCTCCAGTGCACGGGAAGCCCCTGTATCGAAGGCTCACCAGCCAAAAATGTCAGTAGTGACAAGGTTGAGAGACCCTGCTTGAACTGAAGGTCACTGCCCCTTCCTAATATTTTTGCAAGGAATCCAGCAACGTGCTGATCGTAGTGCATGGCATAGAATAATGATCAATAAAAATTAACTTCTGAATCTCATTAGTGCCATGGGCTTGAGAGCATGAGCACTGGAGTGAGCCCTGGATTCTGCTCCCAAGTCTGCCTCTTCTAAGCTGGGTGACCTTGGCCAAGTGACTTGGTATATTTAAGCCTCAGTCTCCTTATCTGTATAAAATTAGTACCAATTTCATGGGGATGTTCATGTGAAGACGTATTAGACCAGAACTTGACACACAATGAGTGCTTATAGTAGCAAATGGTGTTAATACCTTCTTTGAAGGGAGCAATGGATTCGTTATTGAGCCAGGGTCTCCACAGTTCTGCTACCTGATTGTAGATATTATTACTCCCTGCTGGGAACTGATTTTTGGGGTGAAAGTCATGATTTCCCAAAGCAGCGTAGACTTTAGTGTCTGGAGGAAAAGGAGAATTATAAAAATATATATATGCGCAAGCGCTTGGCGAGTTACTCATTTTCAGTCGTCCACTGGCCAGCAGAGCTAGTGAGGAAGAGCGAGGAGAAAAACCCACAGATGAGGAAAATACAGAGATGAGCTGAACACCATCACACTTAATAGAGTCTGGCTGAACTTTGCTCACACTAGGAAAGAGCAGCGAACCCTCTGATCCTGGTCCCTAATCCCCATGCCCAGCGGAAAGTTTCATGGTCAGAAAGCAAGCATCGACTGATGAGAAGGAGAAAGCTAAAAGATCTAAATCATCTTCAGATTCATTGTCAACCACTTGATAATTTAGTGTTCCTTGTTTTGTCAATTACAGAGCCATCTTACTGTTGGGGGAGGGGTCTGGCTCACTCTAGGAAGCCTTAGGAGTTTCACTCATCCGCGGTTCAACAGTATTTATTGAGCTCCCAGTTTGTGCCAACGCAGAGACCTGGGAAACAGGCACCCAGCCCCAGTGGTCTTGCAGTGCAGTTGAGTTGACAGGTATTGAGTAATGAAAGGTATGAGGGCTGTCCATAAAAAAGGAAAAGCCGCTTTCTGTTGTAGTGTGTAATGGGTGGGCGTGGCCAGGGCAGGCCTCCTTGAGGAAGTGAATGAGCCCACAGTGGAGGAGGAGAGCACGTCAGACTCATCTCCTTCTCCTAAGTAGTCTCATTCTTGCTTTTATTTTACTTCTGTGTCTGGCATATAGTAGTTGCTCAATAAATATTTGACCCCAAACAAAACCTCTGAGCTCAGGGCAGGGCTTTGCCCTTATATGAGCTTGGCTTACCCCAGGGAGTGACCTTGAATCAATGAGGGAGCCGGAGCCTCCAATTCCCTCTTGGGAAAATGTCTCTAACAAACCCTTTGTCCTGTACAGCCTGTAAGGTCTGGAAATGCCGAGAGCTCTGCCCAAGTGGGAGGTTGTAGAATTCCCACCAGGAATTATTTGCAAAACAGGAAGCCATCAGTGTAACTGTCTGGAAAAACCTCATCTGTCTAATGTAAATGCTGGCAGCCATTAGAGATCCATTTAAGAAAAAAAAAAAAAACGAAAAACACAAATTCCTGGAATCTCAAGGGCAGATGAGAAGGGAGAGAATTTCTCTGGTTTGTCTTGCTTCTATGTGCCAGGCACTGTTATAAGCTCCTTACAAACTCCAGGAGGGTACCACCTGGCATCTTGTTCACCGCCAAGACCCCTACCCTTAGACTTGTGTCTCACCCATTGTAGATGCTCAATATATATTTGCTGACTGACTGGTGAATGGATTGCCTTATTTAATTCTCACAACAACCTTCTGCGCAGGTAACAGTATTCTCTTTATTTTTCCCATAGAGAAAAGTATCTTGATGAGATTGCCCAGCTAGAACGTGGCAGGGTCTGAACTGGTGCCTGGAACATTTTCACCTTGCACATCTGCGTACACCACTCAGCCATGCTGGGGGGAGGTGGACAGCAGGAACCAATGTTCACAGCAACTCTGATGGGGAACACATGTGGCGTGTGGCAAGAAGAACACATGACTTGGAACCTAAATCTTGAATTTCGGTCCCTTCCTCCTGTCTAAGTTGCTTAAGCTTAATTATCTACAAAATAGGGAGTATTCCATTTGACCAGTGTTATAATTCCCAAATAAGATAAAGCCTCATTTCATCTCTTCCAATTTGTTCTCATTTTCACACCTCTGCAAGTGGGGTGTGTCTTACCACTGAGGCCATGAGAAAGCACTGTGTTGTACTTTCAGAGACAGTACTTCTTTTCTTAGCAATACATAAGATAATGATGCATCTTACAGTCGATAGCACTGTGGACATTAACAAAGTCAGTAAATGTGCACGTGTGTTATAAACTAGAAAACCTTCAAATTACATTTGTGTGTTAAACCATAGTTAATAAAGCATTTTCTTATCCATCGTTTCACTTTTATTCCAGAAGCCCCATGTGGAGCAGAGGAAAGAATGCTCGAAGTTGGATCTAAGTTTGAATTTGTCCCTAGGAACTAACTAGCTTTGAGAATAATAATATCTGTTCTTATTAGATATTAATTACAATATCTGGGGAGGAGTATCCAAGTTTGACCCTAAGTAGTGACTTCTGCTGGAAGATGAACAAGCCCAAGCCTGTCTCAGCAGAGTTGAGTTACATAGCCCCCAGGCAGCTTTTTGCACAAATTAATTTATGTTGAGGACAGGAGGTGACAGAAAGGTTTCCTCAAAGATAGATGTGTGATGGTGACAGCAGCTCTGGCCTCTCCTGGAGTGGCAGTGGGAGTAGTGGATAAAAGCAGTGCTCAAACCAGGATGTGCGCCCCCCTCCCGCAACCCCCTCCTGCCACATGACCTTGACCAGTTTAGTTTACTTGACCAAGGCCCACATTTCTCATCAGTAAAACTGACGTAGTTATAGCATCTCTCTCTAGAATTAGCATGACAATGAATGACCCAAGACATAGAATATTCTCAGAGGAGTGCCTGACACTTAGCACTCAATACATAGATACATATAGTTATTGCTGCTGCTGTTATTATTTATTTTTATCATTATTTTAAATCTGGTTCCTGGGGACCCATGACTAAAACTTTCAGAGGAAGCCTCTGTACCAGAACAGCTGGCGAGTGGGGGCCAGTAGACTGCTTTCACAGATTCCAGCTGGCAGCCTGAGAACCTGATTCAGCCCCCAGGACCTTGTATTTGGCACAGCCTGCTTTAAAACATCTTCAAGGGCCATTAGGTGGGGCACGCAGACCCCATTCTCCCTGTCTCATCCCTGGAGCTGCTGCTATAATCACTCACAGTCCCCACCCGCCTTCCCAAGCTCTTGAAGGAAAGTTTTGGAAGCACCAAGAAAGAGCACCTTGGCTGGAAGTCAGCATCACCCAGAGGTCCCAGCAGCCAGATGCTTCGAGGGCTGTGGATGGCAACCCCGGGGCCACAGAAGGACATGGCTATGTGGGAGCCCCTGTGAGACTTACCCAGGGATGACGCCTGTGTATAACTGTAGATGCCTTGAGAAGGGGCTGTGAGTCTGGTGTTAGGCAGGGCAGAAGGCAGTGAAATGTCAGGCATTTCCATTAATAGATTCTGTGTGTATCCACAGGCTGACAAGCTCTCAGATTCCTTGTACAGTTGTTGGAAGATAAAAAACAATGGCTGTGAAGTACCTGGTACAGGACCTGGCCCAAAGCCATAGTTATCAATGGATGAAGGTGGTTCTGCATCTTGCTGCTGTAGTCCCATGATGCCAGGCACAGCCTGGGGTTCAGGGAAAGCTGTGGGATACCGATGGCAGGGTCTTACCTGGAAAGACCTCTCTAATGAGCTTGGTCAGGCATTCCACAATTTTCAACACAGCCGCCTCTCCCAGCTTCTCGTCGGGCACGTGAGGTGTGTCATCACTGCGAAACACCACCAAGCCAGTTTGGTGCCGGCAACTCACGATGGGGTAGAGAGACTATCTCGTCTTTCAGAATGTTACATCTTTCTCTGTGGGCCCCTCCTGGAAGAATTCAGAGGCTCCCCGAGCAAGAACTCTCTCAGAAGCAGGAGTCCAGGGTCATAGCCTAAAGCTCACTCTCTTCTTAGATTGATTCCTGAGCCCAGGGAAGCCAGAGCTACCCAGGCCCCTCCTGAGACACTGTCACATTTTCTAAGTGTCCAGCCTTGCCACTCCCCTTCGGGATCCATCTGAGGGTCATTCTTTGCCAGTCCCACAACACACTGAGGGACAGCTGGGGGCATCGTGGGTTTGATCCTGCCTTTTAAAGTGTCCATTGGGGCTGAAAGAGAGAGCAAGATATCGCTCTTGCCAGCCTCCCTGGTTCACCACTCTCTGCAGGAAACTCTCCCTAAGCCTGCCAGGTGGAATCAGGTGCTCCTGAAGCTCCCAAATTCCCTGATAACCCTCTCTCATCACTGGGATACAGTGGTCAGGGGATTTGTCTGTGTCACCCACAAGACCGTGAGCTCTTTGAAGGTGATTTGGCTTCTCCATCATCTCAGTTCCCCATTGTCTACCCTGGGCTGAGCACAGGACAGGCTGACCTACCAAAGAAGGGAGGGGAGGAGCCAGTGAGTCAAAGGGAGACCTCGAGAGATGAGGACGGAGAGAGCTGTGGAAAGTTGGGAGACTTAGAGCAGCATCTTTGGGTGAGAAGCAGAAATGGAGTTTGTGGCTGAGTGGAAATTGCCCCTCAAATTCTCTTCATGCAGAGCAGTGCTCTGACCAGTGAGAGGCTCCCCGCCACGCCCAGGGCCAGGGCAACTCAAGGGTGACCAGCAGCTGACCAGGACAGATGATCCCAATGCCAGACCACTTTCAAACCTCCTACCTACTTTCCTGCCCTCATTTGGGTCTTCAGGGCTTGCAGTCCCTAAATCCCAGTGGGAGTGGCTGCAGTGTTCATCCCTCAAAATCCACATACCCAGACGTGCCATGACCTTGTCCCCAGCCTCAGTGAGAGCTGCATTCTGCTGGGGTCGGAAGACATTGAGGTCAAGGGCACAGACTTTGGAATCAGCAATGTCCAGGGTCCCTTGGGCAAGCTGTGTAACTCCTTTGAGCTTCAAGTTGGTCCTCTCTAAAACAGGGCTGGTTTGATGACTAAGGGAGATGGTGTAGGAAGGCGCCAGCCAGTAGGTGGCACACAGCAGGGGACCAGTAAAGGGTAGGTGCTTGACTGCTCTCACCCCGTCCAGAGGATAAAGTCTGGCTCCGGCTCGATCTCCTTCATGGCGTAGACGGAGGAGTTGATGAGGACCCAGGGAGAATCACAGAGGTAATCACCCCAGGGGCCTGCATTGGACACCTGCTGGGAACCAGCTGATGGGCACACCTGGAGGGGGTCTGAAGATACCTTGTAGTCAGGATCAAGGTGCAGGTCAGAGATGTGCCAGAACTTCCCTGCAGGAGAAAGGAGACCCTCCTCAACGCTGGGCCCTCCCTGAGCCCAGATGGGGAGGCAGTCCACGGCAGCCCTGGCCTGGGGGAGGAGAGGTTGCACAGGTGAAAGGAAATTTTCTCTGAACTCAGGGTCCAGAGAAAATGGGCCACAGGCTTTACCCAGGAAGGCACTGAGTGGACCAGAGAACAGGTTTAGCTCTGTCCCTGACCTTTGCATTTCCCTACCTCAGCGTCCCCAGCAGCAGCATGGGGAATTGGTTTGCATGACCCTCAAGGACCTTTTGGGCATTCTAAGCAAAGGGCTTGTCTTAAAGCAAAGGTGGGAGAGGGTTAGGGTTAAGCACTCAGACTCTGGAGCCACATATTAGCTCTGTGACCTTGGGCAAGTTGCTTCACCTCTCTGATCCCTTACTAGAGCCAGATCTTTTCATGCTTCGGGAAGATACATACAAAAACGTGGCCTGGAAGAAGGCTTACACACCAAATGCATTGTAAGAACTTGCTAATTAATACCAGCAAAAACCTGCAGAATAGGTGTGGAAATGGAATTTAAGAGTGCTAGACCAGAAACGAAGGAACATAGTTTCAGACTGGGCTAAATTTCTCCTGTGGGTATACTTGTTAGCGATTCTGGATGCAGGTGGGCAGCTCAGACAGCTGGAGGTGGTCCCGTTCGCAGAAGTGATCTCAGCTCGAAACTAACGGGGGCCGAAATGCCGAAAATCTCGTGGTGTAACACAGAGAAGGGAATCCAAAGAAACCGGCCACGTGGAGTGGATTTGTCATCGGTCCCCAGCACAGGACCTGGTATAAGCAGTTTCAATGATGTCTCCGGAAGAGGGTTAAACAGATTTGCTCTCTGCCCTACATCCTGTGGGCAGAGACAAGGGCGAGGCCCGGTATTTCTTCACTCTCTACTGTTGCCGTCACTTCCTCTTCCATTTCCTGCCTCACTCAGACCCACACAGTCAACACCCACCCAACCCCAGGAAACTCAGCCTGGACCTGGAAGTCTGGCTTCTTTTGCTTTCAGAATTAGACAGCCAGGGCACCACCCGAGCCACAGGACATTCGGTGTAGTTCTAGAAAAGGCGAGAAGGTAAAGTCTGGCCCCTGATCTTGATTTTTCCTCTCAGATGCTTCTGAGCTTTTGCCCATCTCTCCAGATCTAAACCTGCTGCCATGGAAAGGATCAGAAACTTGTTCACACCAAGGTGCAAATGACCGACTAAGCAAATCATTATCCCTCCTGTAGTTATTCCAGTCATCCTCACCACACACCTGGAGGTACTGATCATTATCTCCATTTTACAGATAGGGAAAGTAAGGTTCAGAGGTCAACATGCCTGAGATCACGTGGAAAGTGGTGGGAGAGTCCTGTGGCTCTAGATCTTCTTTCAGAGAGATGCGATTGCTAAGGGAGCAATACCATTGCCTTTTTAACCAAACTGAGTCTTTGTTTCTAATGGGGAGAATTTAAACTTTTCACTCATATATTTATATGACTGATGTGGGGCAAAAGCCTAAACCAGAGGAAAGAAAATAACTTCCCCATTTCTTTTTTTTTAATTCACACCCCCCCACACTTCCACCTCTACCTACGGGGATGTCGCCGTCTCCTCTTAAAGACTGGATCTCTGAAGGTGGGGCGTCTCCTCCCACATGCTCTTGACGCACACCTGGGGCCTGGCGTATCCGGGGTATGGACCGTGGCTCCGCTGGGGCTCGAACCAGACGTGCTAACCATTACTCTATGGAACCACTCCATGACTTCCTCATTTCAGCTAGTAAATGGGCCAAGTTGGTGGGCTTTCCCAAGCACCTGCATTAAGACTCTGAGTGAGTTACTCCTGCTTATAAGCCAGAGAGCAGGCTGGCCAGTTCCTATGCAGTGAGAGGCCCTTCGCCCTCCTGCCTGAAGACCATGACAGAGACCATTTCCGTGCCTCGAGCAGCCTCTTTCCCAACTAGCTGCAAACATCGAGCAGTTCTGCCCTTTGACATCAGCCCTGAAAATAGTCAATAAACATATTTCTCCACTTCAGAAACTCCTTGTCTGCTGACAGAGGCTCAAGTGTCAGCTGTCAGTCTGTCTCTTCTTGTACGTTCTGTTATGGTCAGTGTGTAAAACCGAAACTCTTTCTAGCCTCTCTGGTACTTCCTAATGACATGTGTGTCTGCTGTCTGTGTGTGTCTGTGCGCGTGTGTGCGCGTGTGTATCCGAAGGCCTGACCAAGAAAAATGGCACAGAGAGACAGAGGTCCACACAGGGGCTCCACCACCTGGGGCCCCAGTCTCCTCACTGTAGAGGCAGCTCACAGAGACCTCACCTGATGCTCGGCCCAACTCACTCCACTCCTTCTCCTCACAGGGCCTCTTTCTTGGCTCCCCCGCTCCCTTCCCTGGTCTTCCCCAGGTCATAACATGGCTGCTTTCTCCTCTTTGTTCAGGCTGCAACCCAAAGAAGCCTTCCCTGACTACTCTTTCTTGTTTCTCTTCCTCCACCCACTTGGTTGCTAGCTATTGCCTCCCTCGGTTTTATTTTCTTCAGAGCACTTTCGCATATGAAATTATCTTGTTGGCTTACTTATCATCCATTGTCCCTGTCTGCAATGTCGGTTCCATGAGAACACAAAGCCTGTCTTGTTTATCTCTGTGTCCTCAGCACCGAGAACACTGCCTAGGATGTGGGAGATGCTCAAATATATATTCAATGAATGAATGAGCAAGGTCGTGGAGAAGATGCTTAGCACTCAGAGAATAGATGCCCTTTACATGCTTATCTCATTTCACCTTCGTGGCCATTCTGTGAGGTGGGATTCTTACACCCATTTCACAGATGGCGCAGCTGAGGCTCGAACCCGGACTTCTCTCTGACTCCAAACGTTGACTCAGAGCCCCTACAAGATGGTTTTTATAACACATATATGTCACCCATAAAAGAATGGGAACCACAGGCTTCTATGGAATTAGTCCCAGATAGTGAGGAATTAAATTCTAATTGTCATGTCATGGAGAAGGAGTAGGTACAAGGACCCTGGAGAGAGAAGCAGGTTATCTGGTTTCTAATCTAGGCCCTTCCACTTGTTGGCTGAGGACTCTGCGCAAGCCAGTTGGCCTTGCTGAGCGTGAGGCCGTTTGACACCTGGCCTGCTTCTCTGAGCATCAAATAAGATAGTGAAGGAGAAAGGACTTATAGAGAAGAATCTCAATACAACACTGACCCTGGCGATTCCCTCTGGAGCCAAGAGTGAGCATGGGAGGGTATGGGGCATTTGACACTTTAACATGACCCTTTAGTCCAGAACTTCCCAAACTTTACTGTATAGACGCCTCACCTGGCAATCTCATTAAAATTAAGAGGCTTTATATATTCATACTGCTGGAATCTTTTACAGTTGAAAGTATTCATGTATTCCTTGAGTTTTAAGAAAAGGTATAACAATCTTAGTTGTCATTATTTTTATTAATTATTGAGAATATGAATAAATTTGGTATCAAGTACAGTGAGTAGCTGAGGCTACAGACCTGGGTTGGAATTCCAGCTCCACCACCCACTAGCTTTGTGAATATGAGCAACTGCCTCTGTTCCTTAGTTTCCTTGCCTGTAAAATGGGGACAACAGCACCCTCTACCTCTTTGGGTCATTTTGAGAGTTAAAGTGAGACCATATGAGATGATGCATAAGCACTCAGCAATGCAAAGCAGCAGGTACTCTGAATTTGGTCCCTGAGAGGTCCTGCAAGCTCCAATTTACCACAGGAAGGAGATGGGACCAGCGGGGAGTGGCTACGTCCTTCTCCCACTTGTCCCAATGTTCCTTCAGCTGCTGTCCTCTGGGGCCAGGGCCAGGATATTTGAAACAAAGCAATGTAAAGACAGATCTTGTCTCCTTCTAGATGGTCCTTGTCGAGTTCAGGACTGGTGGGCACAGCATAACCTATAGTTTTAATTTCGAGAGTTCAGCTATGCTCCCTGTGCCTTGGCAGACAAAACAGTCTGCTGGCCCTACTCCTCTTTCCCCAAAGGGGTCACTGGACCCCACTGTCCATTGGGGATGACAGACACAGGGCCCAGGGCCTACAAGCTTTGTAGTAAGGCCATGAAAATATCTGAGATCTGAAAAAAAAATGCTTTGACTCCAAAGTTTAGGAAAAAAACAATACCATCAAAATCAAGAAATCATTCCAAAAGCAATATTAAAAATTTTACTAGAAGTCATATATAATGTGAGAGGCTTTTACTAGGATTTGTGATGGGGTGGGGGAAACTGGCAAAAATCATTTCTAGAGTCCAAAAAGTTCTTAAGCGGGCCAAAAGGTGAGTGTGTTTATGGCTGGAGACAAGAAGGCGAAGGCGGGAAGACACCTGCCATTTATTTAGTACCTACTGAATGCCAATTGGCTATGTCAAACATTCTACCCAAGCAGCCTCAGGACAAAATTATGAAATATATTCTATTATTGTACCCATTTTATAGACGAGGAAAGCAAGCTAGTTAGCAGCAGACCTGTGATTCACATTGTATCAGAACAGAAATGATCATGGTGCACTTTACTCTGCCACTAGCTAGCTGTGTGACCTTGGAGATATTATATATATATATATAATA